AGACCCCCGGTGCTGCCGTCACTGTCGCCTGTATTGCGGTGGCATTTCTCATGGTGATGGTGACATTTTCTGTTGAGGTTTTTTCTCCCTGCTGGAAGTTCCGTTGTTGTTGGTGATGGTTCTGCGGAAGATGCTCGTGGAGTTGTTTTTGTTACTGGTGGGTTGCTGGTAGTAGAAGATAGGCTTGTAGTGGCTTTCAGACCGACGTCTGCATTCTCCTTCTCCTTTTCAACTGCATCCTCACTATCACCTGGACTTTCCGCGGCTTCTTCTGAAGTAAAGGAGCCCTGTTTTGCTTTGGGTTCTGACCTCTCCTTTGGCTGCTCCTTGGGCAGTGCGGTTCCAAGAGACATTGCTTCCGACAGTAGAGCCTTTTGTGAAGGTTGCGTGCTCTGAACAAATGGGGCATCGAGGGCAGAGGATGATGAAATGCCAGCCATAGAAAGAGGGGAAACCGAAGAGTCACCTTGAGAACTGCCACTGGGTCGAGTTACATCAGGTACTGGTGATTGTGGCGGTCTTATTGCTTGGCCCGCCTGTCCTGCATGTTCTGCTGTTTTATCTTCACTGGTCAACATTTTGTCTGCTGATGTTGGAGATGGGCTCCTTTCGTTTTCTTTTGGGCCATCGCGTTGCTGCGTTCCTTCTGAATGATCTTTTGGTTGTTCTTCTCCATCACTTCTTGTTTCCTCATCTTCCGCCTTCTTTGCTTCTACTTTTTCCTCTTTTCCTGCCGCCCCACCATTACCTCTTGGTGGTTGTTTGACAGAAGTTTGAGGGCTGACCTTCGCTATGTCTTGCGAATCTAATGGTTCTTCTGAGGTGTTCAACACTCTACCAACTGGAGTTCGTATATCCAGTTCTTCTTCATGGCCACCCTTAGACAAAGACTGTGAACTCCTCGATGGTTCATCTTGTAGTTCACCAACACTATCACCAAACGATACCCCCACCGCACCAAAATCGCACCACAGCACGCAGAGGGCACACACCAGCAGCACACGGCCAGCCATCATCATCGCCATCACTCCTGTCACTTGCGTGCAGCCTTCAGCACAAACGAACTCCCCGTCAACGCAAAAAGCAAAAGGGGAGACAAGTCACACAACCACGCACCGTCCCATCCAGCAATGAGAGTCACAAATGGCAATGCACGCACCACGAGGCAGTTGGAATCAGTACAATTGCAGAACTCACACAACACCTTGCAAACCAGAATTTAAAAATGCAGTAAAAAGCACAACAACGGATTTGAGAGTCCAGCGAAACTCCAAAAAGTAAAAAAAGAAAAATCGATCAGCCACGTCTTTTATTTTGTTTGCCAAGAAGCAAAATGTAAACGACCACTGGTTTGCGTATACGTACTGCATGGACCGAATAAAGCAAAGAAAAAAAGATTGTACTGTTCCACCAGCCCACACGACTCTCCTCACATTTCATGCGGCATTCGGCCTGTTCCTCCAATCCTCCTCTTGTGCAGTCCGTGGGACGCACAGCCGCAGGGCCGGCACAGCGTGTGCGCGAAGGAAGGAAACAAGGGGTAGAAGCACGTCACTCATGACGGTGTGCGGCAAGCAACCATTGGGAGAAAACACAGAGATGCTAATTATTCCAATAGGGCAAAAGCAGCAAAAATAAATAAAAGAGAATAAAAAACTTAAATTATTGACAAAACTCAGTGGATAATGCTGGCAAGCTGCACAGTTATTGCTCCACGAAAAGCCTCAATTCCGCCCTCCCTCACACCTCAGCAGAGCGCCGCAGTGCCTGGCAGCACCAGAATCAGAAGCAACATCACCCGAGACACACACACCCATGCACGGTGATGTCACCAATTTCAGCCATGGCCAACAAATCCGTGAAGTGCCCGTGCTCACAAAAACCGTTGCTCACAAGTGATGCTGCGTCGTGCTCCGATGGGATCTCTGGTTTCTCGGACGTTGTGCGCAAATAATCCTGTGCGGCATCACCGCCACCCGACACGTTATCACTCTTTCAACATTTGCTGGGGCTGTGCTGGGCTCAGGCGTGGCTGTTGTGCCATTTAAGGGCGCTAGATCACTGTTGCTGAGTGAATCGGGGCCGCCATCCGTGCCCACGGCAGTGCGGCCATACGTGTCCTATTCGTGCTCAACGTCTTGTTATTCGCTGGCACCTGTGTTGGCGGTGGACGGCTCGTTGTCTCTCGCTGAGCGTGAATAGAATCAGCTGCGCTGCCACTTGACTCTCCGGACAGCCGCGCTCCCTGTGGGACCTCACCGCGCAGCAGCTGGCAGCCCTGCATGCTCCTGCCGTGCGGAGTGTCCTGCCACCGAGCATGGCCACAGACAGTTCCCAGTTCCTCGTCTGGAAACATCCCAATCGCCCACACGAATACTGGCGGCTACGGAGTTCTCGTCGGCAATTGAGGCACTCCGCGTTGCCCCACTGGCCGTGCGAGACTGCGTTACCAAAGGAATTTGGATTATGCTACTTTTCGTGGTGAAGCGAGGCCGCTCTGTAGAATGCGTGTTCTCCCCGTCGCCCTGCGGTGCGCCATGCAATGAGGCCGCTGAGAAAGAAGCCGCGGTTGCAATTTCCCTCCCCGCAATGGGGTGTACCAATCTGACACGTGGAATTCCTTGCCGCGGTCAAGAGGTTATGCTGGAAGGAAGTCCAGGAGGAAGAGGAAGGCGCACACCACACCACTACCGGCGATCGTCGGCATAGCGAAAACTCCATTACTTGTGTCCGGCCAAATGTTGTGCCACGACCCGCAGCTCCGCGCACAACTGCGATGCGACTCCTGCCCGCTCTTCGGTAGAATGGCGCACGCCCTGCAGATTACAGGCGGCCCTTTATGTCGGTAGCGCCTTCCCTCCCACACCGAGGAGATCGGCCCACCTCTGCCTCCGGAGCCTCCACCTCGCGTGAGAACCGCAAATCTTTGTTGACCAACGAGCGGCGGATTGACGTTCTCCTGCCCAATCTGCGGCAGCGTCTTCTCGTCCGTCCACAATATGAGAGCGTTTTCGGCCTTGTGTTCCGATGGTCGAAGAACGCCTCGCATGCGGACGCCGCAATGGCGCCACCGTCCTCCTAACAGGCGCCCTCAGCGCAGGTTTCCACCGAAATTGCCAAGCATGCCAGCAGACCAAACATGCAGGAAGCACAACCGCGGGAACTCAATATGGAACAGGCTCTTCCGCCACCGCCGCATCACAGACGCCATGGGCTGCTGACCCCCATCCCCTCTGACAACGGGAAACTGCGCCTCATCCACTGTCGGAATGCCGTCGTCGTTGGGAATAGGGACCGCGACTGTTTGGGACTGCCCCAGCCCGCACGACGGTCCGCACGACGGAATACTTGCCATTTTGTACGGACGGCCCTTGCGCTGCTCACTCGATATTGTAGCAGCATACAACTAAAACAAGATAAAAAGTTGCTTTGTGATGAATATTGGCTGCACTTCCCGTGGACCAACGATCCACGTGGTGTGCGGGGATCATCCCCTTTTTACTGTTACTTTGCTTTTGTGTTGCTGTGTGCGCTGCACCTCCTCTTGTATGTGTGTGTGCGTATTCTCCGTGAGGGGTGCCGGCACGACGGACAGCCCTCGCCGTATTTGCGTGCGGTGGAGCCTTGTGTGCCGCTCCTGTTTGCTTCTCCCTCTTCCATCTGTGTGTTGTTGTTGCGGCAGGGCTGTGTGTGTGTGTGCTTGCTGCCGTGGATTGGGGTGTGTGTCGTGCGTGGTGTGCGGCGTACGGTGCATGCCTGGCTGCCGCCCTCTCCTCATGTGGTGTGCCCTCTGTGTGTGTCTGCCGCACCTCTCGTCTCCCCTGTTGCTCTCCATGCCCCTCACTGTGCAGATCAGCCCCACACCACTGAACGACCACACTCACGATGATGACGTGCCGTCTGCTGTGCGCCCTGTTGGTGCTTGCCCTGTGCTGCCGCCCGTCCGTGTGTGTGACAGAGGGTAGCGCAAAAAACGACGACTACGGCAAACGCACCAACTGCGAGTACGACTACTAAAACAACCACCGCGCCAGAGGCACCAAGTAATACGGCCATGAATACGGAGGCGCCAACCACGACGACCACCCGCGCACCGTCACGTCTTCGCGAAATTGACGGCAGCCTCAGCAGCTCTGCGTGGGTGTGTGCCCCGCTGCTGCTCGCCGTATCCGCGCTGGCGTGCACCGCTGTGGGCTGAAGAGGTGCATACGGGCTGTGCGTGCCAGCACTCAACGGCGGTGACATGTGTGCGTCCACTGTGGTCCGATGTATAAAGTAAGAGCAATTATGATGATTGTGTTTTTGCTTCCTTTGCTTTCGCTGCCTTGCTGTGTGCTCCGTGCTGTGCGCCACATCCGTCACTTTGAACGCATCCCAAACATACGCATACGCACGACACGCACACAACTGTTTGCGTGGACACACTGTTGAGGATAGAGGCGTGCGCGCTGGAGCCATACTGTGCAGCTCTTTTTTTGTGTGTGTTTTTACTGTTTTACTTTATCGCTGCCTGTTTACTTTTGTTTTTCCTTGTTTTCTGTGCTTTTCTTTACGTGCAGCGCATTGTGTCTTTTTTCACTTTCATTGGTTCAATATTTCTCATGAAATGCGTGCCGCTGCTGCTGCTGCTGTATTTTACTGTGCCGTGTCTTTTGCTGCTTTCACTCTGCGTTGACGGGGAGTTAGTTTGTGCTGAAGGCTACACGCAAGTGACAGGAGTGATGGCGATGACGATGACTGACCGTGTGCTGCTGGTGTGTGCCCTCTGCGTGCTGTGGTGCGTTGCCGGTGGTATATGTGAAGAGCAGGTGAAAGTTGTTGACGGTGGCGCTCCCGGTGGTGGTAGTGTTGTGTTGGTAAAAGCAAATGGAGTGACAGCAACGCCAATGCCAAGCGAGCAAACAGGCGTATTGCAGGTTGCAGAAGAAGCTCCAAATAAACGCGCGGCGGACTCTTCGTCAGAAGAAGAAGCCAAAGAAGAGGATGGTGGTGATGAACCAGAAGAAGGTAGTAAAGAAGAAGCAGAAGAAATAATAATGGAAGAAGGAAAAGGAGGAAAAGAAACAGATAAAGAAAATCAGAGTCAAAGAGAAGGAGCTGCAGGTCATCCAGTTGCCGCAAAAGGAATTGCAGGGAACAGTAATCAAACACTCCACACACCTTTATCTACGGAGCACAATCCTTCTCCCGACAGTCCGAGATTAAATCTTGAAAGTCCGCAAAATAATTTGTCGAAAAACAATGACTCCGCCAAAAATCAGCAAACAGAAGGCAGCAGACCAGGAGAGGAGGATAAGTCGAAATTAAGCGAAGGCGTACCAGAACCAGGCCCAGGTAAAGGGAATTCAGGCCCTGAGCCCGGTAAACAAACTGAAATTCATGAGCCGACAGGCTTGTCATCGGCTTCTTCGGGTGACGCTCAGGAGACAAAACACGCTGTGAATGGACCTCCCAACGCCAGTCCAGGGCCTGTGGGCGGCGTGACAACGGGCAGCCACACGGATGTTAAAACCGGCACGGAAGTTCACCCACCACCACCGCAAGAACATCCCTCACCAGCGGTAGCTGCAGAGAAGGAAGATTCCATAATGGAAGATGTGGCCATTCAACGAGGTGGAAACGAAAGGCCACAAGAAAAACTGCCAGAAGCAGCAACAGCAGCGCCACCAGAAGGACTTCGCACATCTGCGGTGAGGTCTTCGGAAAAAACAGAAGACGTTACTGATGAAAATGAAGAAATTGGTGAAGAGAATGCTGAAGATGAAACGAAACAACGACAAGAACAGCTACAACTACCGCAACAACCACAACAATCAGGAGAAAAAGGACAGCAGCAGCAGCAGCAACAACAACAGGAAGATCAATCGCATGGATATTCCACGGACGATGGCGAAGTACCCAAAAAAGACAAAAACGACGTTGGAACCAACAACAGTGACGGCAGCACCGCGGTCTCCCACGCCACCTCCCCCCTTTTGCCTCTTCTTCTTGTTGTTGCGTGTGCGGCTGCGGCTGCGGT